TGGTGGAATCGAATCGCGACTGTCATGAAGCACTGAAAAAAAAGAAAAGAAAAAGAAAAAACCATGGGGTCTTTTTCGTAGATATCCTACTCTGCGAAAAACTCTCATAGCCTTTAAAAGAGCCAAAGCAAATGCACGAAAAGTAAGGAGGCAGAGCCAAAGGAATTCTTGGATTTCATATGGCGTCAATAAACTCTCTATGCCTAGTAAGCGGGTTTGGGAAAGAGTTCGAAAAGCATGCGGAATATATAAAGACCACTCACTTTTCCTTTTTGGAAATGATGGCCGAGTGATTAGCTCCATAGAAGAAATTGCAAATACTATTCGTGAGACATTTGCTTTGCTGCAGTTTCTTCCAGCAGAAAAAACTATTCACCTGCATTCTCTCTATCAAGCAGCACTCTGAAAAATAAATCCCATCGCATTCAACTTTCCAAATCTGAGCCTTACAATAGAGCATTTACTATGCTGTGGAATTAAAGAGAGCTTTATAGCAGACACATAGGTCTTCTCCGGGTTTTGATGGCATAAATTACGAAATGCTAAAACATCTGTCCTATAAGTCACTGAATGCCCTTCTCACTCTTTACAATAGAGTGTGGAAGGAGCATATTTTCCCCAGTGCATGGAGGAAAGCTATTGTAATTCCTATTGCTAAGACAGGGAAAGACCCAAGAAATCCCTCCAACTATCGGCCAATTGCCCTTACCATTTCTGTATGCAAACTGTTTGAAAAGATGGTAAACAGCCCCTAGTCTACTTCTTGGAAAAGAAGCGGTTTTCAAAAAGGGAGAACAACCGTAGATAACATGCTCCTCTTAGAGACATCCATTCGAAAAGCTTTTGTAAGAAGAAATCACCTTCCAGTCGTCTCAATTTTCTTCGATATAGAGAAAGCTTATGATAAGGCATGGAGATACGGTATACTTCGGGATCTTCACGAGAGTGGCTTGCGCGGCAACCTACCAATTTTCATTCAGAATTTCTTGAACACTAGAACTTTTCAAGTAAGGATTGGCTCTGTTTTTTCGGATGTTTTTCAACAGGAAGAGGGTGTGCCTCAAGGCTGTGTGCTTAGTGTAACGCTGTTCAGCCTAAAAATAAACTCTGTATTAAAAGAACTTCCTTCCACCATCTTGGGATCTCTATATGTTGATGATTTACAGATTAGCTGTCGAGGGGCAGACACGAGATACGTACAGAGGCAATTGCAGATGGCTCTGAATAAGATCCAAGAATGGTCAAACAAACAGGGATTTACTTTTTCGAAAGAGAAAACTGTGTGCGTGCACTTTTGTAGGAAGCGAGGTCTCCATCCTGAACCTGAGTTGTATCTAAATGGTACAATTATTCCAGTTGCGCCCGAAGTAAAATTTTTAGGAGTGATGTTCGACCAGAAATTGACTTTCCTTTCTCATGTTTTAAACCTGAGAAAGAAGTGTTTAAAAACACTAAATATTTTAAAAGTGTTGGCAAACAGCTCCTGGGGTGCAGAACGGTGCTCTATGCTTCGCATTTACAGAGCGCTTGTTCGCTCCAGGCTGGACTATGGGTCAGTTGTTTATGGATCCGCTCGGTTATCAGTTTTGTTAAAACTAGATCCTGTTCACCCTCAAGCGCTGCGGATTTGTTCAGGAGCTTTCAGGACTTCTCCTGTGCAGAGTCTTGTATGTTGACAATAACGAACCATCACTTTATCTGAGGCGTGATCAATTGTCCCTTTGCAATATTTCATATTCTATCCCAACCTGAAACATCCCAATAAGCTGTGCTTACTTGATAATGTGTGTAACACATTATTTTGAAACATGTCCATCCTGTGTTCCTACCTTTCTTTTAAGAGTTCGCCCCTGTCATTGAGGAACTTTCGCTCTCTGATATGCGCCCCCAAGCAGTACAGAATTTTGAAATCCCACCTTGGGAAAATGTACGGATTCAGCTTCCTTAATGTTTTTAAGCATCATGTGAAGGCAAGCAACGAACGAGATCGTTTAACAGATAACTCTTTCGCTGAACACAGGCACATAAATATAGCAGTTATCTTCCAGTATATATACACAGATGGATTCCAAGTCAAAAGATCATGTCGGGATGGCATTTGTAATTGAAGACCACATGGAGGGCAGACGCTTGACATGGAAACCATGCTTTCTCTGTTCTTAACATCGGAACTAACTGCGATAATATATTATAGTCTTTTTGTACATCTCAAAGGCTCTGCCACAAGAAGTTTCATAGTTTATACAGACTCCTGTAGTGCGCTTAAATCATTAGAAGCTTTTTCGCAATACTCAAAATCCAGTAATAGTGGATATTCTAAAGTTACATATAAACTTAATGAGTCGTGGGATATGATATCCTGTACTGCTGGGTTCTCCGGCCATGTGGGAATAAAAGGGAATGAGCTGGGAGATATCACAGCGAAATGTGCTGTTGATCTGTCCAGTCGCCTCATCCCTTTTCGAGACATCTGTTGTGTAGTCAAAGAGTAGATCGGAAAAAAAAAATGGCAGCAACTTCGGGATGTTCAGCTTCAAAACAAGTTAAGACATGTAAAGCCTAGAATTGAGCATTGGGAATTAACTAGAAATCGTAAGGAGGAAGTTCTTTTGAGTCGCCTCAGAATTGGTCACACTAGAGTGACACATAACTACCTTTTAAAAGCTGAGAATGAACCTGTTTGTTCATATTGTAATGTTTGTCTATCTGTTCGTCATATTTTAATTGAGTGTACCTGTTTTAACAGTCTTCGTCAGAAATATTTTAATAGCTGTGACTTACCTCTCGACCGTTTAATCGGAAGAGAGGTCAATTGTAATTAATTTTATTATTTAATGTAATCTGTTCAGCAGATTTTGTTTTGTATTTAATGTATTCTTTTACCAGGTTATTTATATGACTCCATCCTCTGGATTTGGTACATGTAGCTTTTTAACAATTTTATTAATAAGTTTTTCATTTCTAAATTAGGTCACCCCACCATTTGTTTGGCGCATCATAACCATCATTGGTTTTTGCGCCAAAAAACTCACTCACTCACTTCTTTCAGAAACTTTCCTCTGAGTTTCTTCTTTTTGTAAATTGTTTTTACCAAAAAGACCTCATATTTTAAATCTCTTATGTCATTTTCAACACCACTAAAATCATCATTTGTTGGGGAAATATCATTTGAAGAAGGAAAATGAGGTTGGTTAGAAACACTTCCCTCAATTTCCTGAGTCACTTTCATGATCAGAATGTTCAATGACTTCCGATTCATCGATATCAGACACATTATCTAAATTGTTGGAGTCTTCATCGACCGAGACTTCTTCTAAAACGTGCAATAATCTTCAGAAGGTACAATATTCTTTCTGCACATACTTGGAGGAGCGCTGTACCGCGTTCGCCTACGTGACATGTTCACAATAACTGCTTTCAGAAAGAAGGTGAAAACCAGACTGACCAGAAATACCAGATGCGTTGCACTCAATGTTTCTAGGAGGGTAGAGGAAGGGAGGAAGGTCAGGAAGAGGTTGTCTAAAAATTACAGCCCAAAAGATGGCATTGGAGTACTCTGTACGCCGGCTCCTCCATTGCAGGGGTAATTTAAAGACAATGCAAATATAAGTACCTTTCCGGATAAAATAATTTTATTCCTACTATTTACATAACTTTAGGGTTTAAGGTTAATTTTAGGGTTAATGCATTTTGTTTATTGAAAATTAATCTCAGTTTCTGGAAGTAATCAAAATCTGGTTTTTCTCTTTTAACATAAAAAAAATGCATACAAATTCTTTTCAAATAAACTTTTAAATTTTACATTGGCAATTGTTATATTCTGTCTTCCAATTTGTCATATTCTGTTCATTTGGTTTCAACTTAAACTGAACATTAAAAAAAGATTTTCAACCCAAACATTTTGATACAACAGACATTGTCAAGCTTGCACATTGTCAAGTTTAGGGGGAAAAAGTAGCTATTTATAGTATAATGAATGAAAAAACTTCGGTCACTACATGACTTACTTTAAAAATTTATTTTCTCCAATATCAAATTAAACCAAAGAATTTTAAAACGAATAAGACAAGCAACACTGCAACTTTAAAATAGCTTAAATGGTGAAGAATTAATTCCACATTGAGAACATCAACACAAAATTCAACATTTTGCTAGCTAAATACTCAAAAAACAACTAGCACTTAATACAGTCATTAGTTTACTAAAGCATAGATGGCTTTATCCATCCCACACTATGCCAATAAAATGAAACCTAAACAACACATGAGGTTATATATATATAGTTTAATCAAAGAATTAGCATATAGGATCTCATACATAAAACTTATCTTATAATATCTCTTATTCAGAACTAAAAGAATAATTAATCAATACAGATTCATAATTACATGAAACCATTTTGCCTTCAGGCAACTTGAACACGACTGACAGCATAATAATTTAAACATTCTTAGATCTTTCACTTACAGACAACAAATAGCAGTATGAAAAATAATTTACAAAACATAACGACTATTTCATGTCAAACAAAGAAAACAATATAGCTTCAGTCATCAATTTCATTGTGTAGATAATTTTCATTTTTCTGATCATATCACATCGGAATAAAATTTTATGCTTTTTTAAGGGACACTTAATAGTCTTAAAAGAATATTCAATATTCAGTTGCAAGCTGAAACATATTTTACAGAGTAATTTAGGTTTAATTTTTTAATTCAGGCAAAGCAGAGTCATATCAGCCTGTGCTCCATTCTAGTTTTGTATGAGAGCATCTCATAGGACCAGAATAAGAGCATCTCATATCCCTGTCACCAACCTTTCAAATGCATTTTCAGCTTAATGGACTTTAAATGCCTCCAGGGTGCAAAGGCAATATAGTCAAATTTATGTTTAAAACGGACACGTGTTTAGAATTTAATAATTACATATATTAAATGATTCAGAAAATGCATATAGAACATAACATTCTTAATTTACAAAAATAATGCAATTGTACTCACTTCCATATTAGCTAAAAGTTGATAGTAAGGCCAACTGCAAGAATATACCATAGGCCTTCCAGTATTATTTAAATACTTTCCTATAGCCACATAGCCTAAAAAGAAGTACTTAATTACAGGATTTGAATGAATTCAATGTCTTACATTACAAGTACTTAGAAAAGTGCTACTGACAATAACTTGTTATATAATACAATTAAAACATTTAATGGTACTCAATATGTTATACTGATCATAACTGAAGTTGAAACCATGTGAAGATAACACACGCATAGTAAAAGACCAAATTTCTATAATTTTGAATTGAAACATTATTTTATACAGGGTTGCCACTCAATCAGGAGAATGAAATTCCCTGACTTTTCCAGGTGTGTTTCCAGTCTATCCGTTAGCTGTGTTAGCTGTGTTGAGAGGTAAATTAATTATGGTACTACTTGAAAACACAAAATTTGCCAATTACATATGACTTATCTCCAAAGCATTACTTTTTCTTCAAAAATTTTTAAATGGCTAATAATTACATCAAGGCAAAAAGTTCCGTTCTTTTATTTTTGCAGCATATATGTACCTACTACAGCCCAGATTTAATGACAGAAAAAAAAACTTCTCATAATAATTATTACCCTTATCCATAGCTCTAGGATTTGATAACTATAATAGGAGCTCATAACTATAATAGGAGTTGTTTTCACCACTGAAGATTGATACCATATACGCTCATGTGATGTCCGCACTTTTTTTACTAAAACTACATCATTACATGAGCCAAGATAAAATTTTGAATTTCTCAAAAAAATTGGCACGTCATTTCAGAAAAGTCCGATTTTGCGTTAAAATACCTACATTAGAACAATGCTACACATAAATCTAATACATATATTCTAAGTTGCGCTTTCGAGACATGAGAAATGGAATTTGAATTTCGTCAATCAGCCCAGAAGAACAGCAGATATAGAACTGTCCCATTTGGGGGGGGGCAGCGTACACTATTATTATTAAATTGTAAGAATTATGAACATTTACATTAATTTGCATACTGTCAAATATTATGCAACCACAGCATCTTTCGTGAATTATATCACATCTTGAAAAACTTAAGAAACTGTGCATTACAATGATTTTCACTTTATCCCAATTATAATCAATTTCCAAAATATCTGATAAACTCAAAATACATCAGCACCCAATGAAATTGAAACACTACCGAGCTTACCTGGAAATAAACTCATTTCGTGTTTCAAAACACAAACTACAAGCAAATACAGCGATATTATTAGTTATGCACATCACAAAAACAGATAACTTCAATAACTTTACTTTTCAAAACATCATTTACTGAAATAAGTAATCAATTACATAAAAAAAGGTTTAATTGTCAGCTTTAAGAGCTACATACAGGCATCAATAAAATGTTCTGGCTTTCTACAAAATAACTTAAAATTTCCAGAGATTCTGATTTATTTACATATTTGAATACTTAACTACAAAGACATCAAATGCTTTGAGAAAAAAAAAAAAAAACATTCTGACAATGTTCACAATGTTTCACACAATAGGATTTTATTATACACAATCTGGAACTAATATTCTTCTTCCTGAAAATGGTAATAGAGTATATTGTTCATCAGCAGTTTTTTTTTTTTTTTTTTTTTTTTTTTTTTGTAAATCCTAAAAATTAACGTAAAACAACAAGACAATATTTTATAGCCAGTACTTTTTCTTCAAAAATTTTTAAATGGCTAATAATTACATCAAGGCAAAAAGTTCCGTTCTTTTATTTTTGCAGCATATATGTACCTACTACAGCCCAGATTTAATGACAGAAAAAAAAACTTCTCATAATAATTATTACCCTTATCCATAGCTCTAGGATTTGAATTACATGCATCAAGTTTCACCATGTCCACTTTCCAATCAGCAAATGTCTTTACATCCTGATCTATATGGCCAGCTATGCCAGGATAACCCATGCAGGTACGACGTCCAAAACTCTGATAAATTCCTAATCTCAGACCTCGAGAATGCATCTATAAGAAACAGAAAATAGATTTATTAGACCAAAACAATACATCGGTACTACATTTAAACAACATAAATTTTACCACTAGCATAATATTGGGTTACTCAGAAAGTTCTGCAGCTTTTTGGTAATAGAGTATATTGTTCATCAGTAGTTTTTTGTAAATCTTAAAAATTCGTGTAAAACAACAGAACAATATTTTATAGCCAATATTTTTTCTTCATAAATTTTTAAATAGCTAATAATTACATCAAGACAAAAAGAGAGATGAATAAATGAAAAAAAAGCTGTATAATAATAGGAAGAGAATTTATTCAATAATTTCAATTTTTTTTAAAATTGTTTTAGAATAATATAATGAAAAAATTCATTATTTTATTCTAAAACTTTTGTCATTTCTTTGCCATCTGGAAAAGTCCTTTTAAAAAAGTCATTAGGTTTTATTTCTAAAGGTAATGAGGTGTTGTTTGACAGTCTGCAAAGAAGTGAACTCCAGGCCATTCAGAGAATTTTGAAGTAACTTGAAGAGGTAAAAATCCAAGGAAATAAGGTCTTTGACATTCATCAAATGTGGGTCCAAACCTTCCCATGATGGAAAAACAAATTGATGATTGGTCAGCCTTCATTTCTGTCTTTAAAATAGCCACTTGGAAACAGCCCTTTTTACAATTTATTGTTTGATTTGGTGGCAACAATTCATAGCATACAATTCCTTTGCAGCCCACCATACGCAAAGCATTACATTTTTTGGGATGCAGTGACTCTCTCTGTGTTAATAAATGATGTTCTTTTGACTTATCCTACAAAATTTTGCAGACCAACCCCTTTTTCACACTATGTTGTCAAAGCAAATCAACACTTAAGCACAAGTGACAATTCGATCCAGAACATTTATATTTGAGCAGATTAGTGCAAGCCCATACATGTGTCTTTATCTGATTGAGTCAGCTCATGCGGCACCCAGGGAATTAACTTGTACATCAAGTTTATGCGATGAACAGTACGACTAATGGACAAGGCCCTAACGTCTAACTCTTTAGAAAGATCTCTAGTGGTTACATATTGATCTTCTTCCACAAGTTCTTGAAGGCGGGCCTCATCAACTTCAGTAGGCCAGCAAGAGTGCTCTGCTTCTTAAATGTCATAGTCCTTGTTTTTGAACTTTTAGTACCAAACCTTCACAGCGTCATATGATAAAAAATTAGTAACCTGTACACATGACTCGGTGACATTCTGTAGCTGACTTTACGCAACAGAACTGGAAGTAAATGATGGTTTGAATCTGGTAGCATGATAGTTCCATTTCAGACACCTTGTACCTAATAATAACGATTTTTTTTATATAAATTTCACACCACAGTGTTTCCTAAAGCAAGTCTCTTTCCTTCAAATGCCAAAAATCTTTTGACAAAATAGGATTAAGCATGTAAATGCGAACTGTTTGCACAGATATTTGTGGTGCAGGAAACTTTCATTAAAATCTGATAAAACCCAATTCTAAAACCGATAACAATGAATATCGATATGCAACATCCTCCCACCTTTTCTTTTGCACACCTAAATGTTACAAGACAAAACTGATGTATTCCTTAAAAACTACAATCTAACACAGACATTTTAGTTTCCTTATAAATTCAGCCTTTTCAGTTACTTTACCTGTCATCCACCTCAAGTACATATTATTTCAGGACCTGAAACAATTCTATCACTGAGTAATATCAAGTCTGAAGAATGCAGTTTTGACTCGTTATGACTGAGTGACAAATCTCCTTTCTGAGGGCATAATCTGGGCTCTGAGCTTTCAGCTTTGTCCTGAAGGGTTAAATAGAACAATGCAATCTCTAAGTGATATAACCATTGAAAGGAATAATTTCTAACTTTGCCAGTTTGAGCTACTCACTGTTTCCCATCTCATCCTGTAAACAGTTCCATCACTCTGGCTAAAGGCCAATTAATTCTTTTACAGCTATCATATGGCACAAGCACATCTCTTACTTGAACTACCTCTTGACTACAAGCTCAGACAGATAGTCTTTTTGGAATCTCTTTCAAAAACAATCTCGAATACTTTGCAAGTAACCTATCCTTTTCTTCAAATGAGTTCCATCGATAGTGTCAAAATCAAGAGTACCACAATAAGTACAATTTGGAGTTACACGCAGGAAATGTGCCACTGTTAACCGTAATGGTTAGTCTGGATTCTCCAACAAATACGTGAATGGTCTCTTATTAATTGTATTCTCACAGTCACATAAAAACCATTGACATTTCCTTGTAATTTAGACTAACTCTGATAAGAATTCAGTACACCTTTCATACTGCATATCACATGCTTCCACCATCCATCATACCACAGTGCACTTGTTGTGCTAAAATTTCTTTTCATCTTCTTTAGTGCACTATCTTCTTGAATGACATTCCAGTCTATTGTTTCAACACCCTTTGAAGTGCCCACAAAGTTTGTTCCATTATGAGTGAAAATAACTGAAACTCTGCCTCATCTAGGAATGAATCTTCTCAAAGACAATAAAAACTTCTGTGCATGATGCAGTTATTAACACTGAATGTACCACATGGTACACAGAGCAGGTGAAGAAGACAATCCAAGCCTTCATCCTCCCTGAAGGAAAATAGGACCGGCAAGATCTGCACCTGCTACTCTTGCTAAGGGGACCGAAACTCTGCCTCATCTTAGCCATGAATCTTCTCAAAGACTGAATAAAAGCTTCTGTGGCCAATGCAGTTATTAACCCTGAATGTACCACACAGTACACAAAGCAGGTGAATATAACGATCCAAGAGTTTAAAATGCATTCAAATGTGACATTGTTGTGAATCAAATTCTAAACTTTTTTTTTTTTTCAGAGCAAGTGAATATAACGATCCAAGAGTTTAAAATGCATTCAAATGTGACCTTGTTGTGAATCAAATTCTAAACTACAGTCAAAAGTCTTTAATTCGGACACCCATAATCCGGAATGATCTATAATCCGGACCTCAAAGCTTCAAACTTTCTGCGCACAGAAACATCTGTAAAAAATATATTTGTGTTCTAAAACAATGACCCTGACGTTTGTTAAAAGCGTCACTTTGCGGCCACTTGTTTTCAGTTTTTTGAGTGTGTTCTGAGACGCCGCCGAGAGATGTAAACTGTGTAACTAACTAACTGTGGCTTTTTGAAAGTAATTAATAAATTTGAGTATACAGTAAATTTTTGAGTTTTTGTGTAAAGTGATTTATTTAATTATGATTTTTACTGAGCTATTGACGGGCCCATTGTTGGTCCTAACCCGATCCTGGAGTTCGAATTGTGTGTCAAAAGTCAAAAGACAAGTGTTATGGAAGAAAACTTGTGGATTACTCTTAAATAGAAGGTAGGTGGCCTTAATTGTAATAAATGTGTAATTGAAAAGTAGATTCAAAATGTTTAAAAGTACAAAAAAAGAAGATTATCAGCGTATTGCTATAGAGCTGAATTTGGACATTTCAGAAGTGAAAACTATATCAGATTTAACTGATATAATTAAAAACAGTGAAAGCTATAAGAAGGATCCTGTATTAGTTGAAGGTATAGATATTATCGACGAAAGGAAAAGTGACGAGAGCCGATTGCTCGAACTTGAGAAATTGAAAACGGAACGAGTGAAATCGGAACTAGAACTCGTGAAGTTGCGAGCAGAATCAAAGAGTAAAAACCTCATACAATATGAGAAAAGAGAAAATGTAGAATCTCTTGACTCTCTTATTAAAAGTATACGCACATTAACAACTAAAATTCCAATTAGACCAGAAGGTTGGGGTTATTTCTTTTCATCGTTAGAAAGGGCATTCATTTCAAAAGTGTTCCAGAAAATTTAAATCGAAAATTCTTCTAAATTTGTTGGGAGATAAAGCCACAAATGTTATTACATACATTAAAGACGACGAATTAGGAGATTATTCGAAGGTTAAAGAAATAGTGTTAAGAGAATTCGAACCATCCCCCCAAATTTGTTTAGAAAATTTTAGGAAGACACAACAGATAACGAATGAAACTTATGTGCAGTTCGCATCTAAATTAACCACAAGTTGGGATTATTATTTGAAACTGAGAAAGGTAAATGATTTTGAAACATTAAAACAATTAATGGTTTCTGATAAAATATGTCAAACACTTGATAAAGAGGTTATGTGTTTTATAAATGTAAGGCAAGGAAATTCTTGGCTTAAACCTGTAGAATTGGTGAAGGAGATAGATTTATATTATACATCAAAGGGAAAACCTGTAGTGGATAATTCTAGGTTAAGTAATAATAACAGTTATCCTAAAAATATGTCAAAGGTTTTTCTAACTGATATAAAAAATTCGAAATGTATTTTATCATGCGATGATATTCATCCTTTGTACAAATGCCCTGTTTATAAAAACATGACAGTTAGCGATAGAGTTGGGCTAGTGAAATCGAAACAGCTATGTTTCAACTGTTTAGGAAATCATAAGGTGATTAAATTGTGCAAAAATTCAGCAGCAAAAATTCTCTTGCGGTATTTGCAAAAAGAAACATCACGTGACTCTTCATTTCCCTAGCGAACAAAAAATAAACATAGTTGCACAGGTGGTGAGTCATGAAAATAAAAATATTCCTTTGAATTTGGATGCTTCAGCTCCATCATTTGAACCTGTGCAAGCTAAAACAAGTACTGATCAAAATTTATTATCAACAATGTGCAATCTCGCGAATGAATTAAAAGCTGTCTTACTCAGCACTTTTGTTTGTTTAATTAAAGATGCATCGGGTAACTTTTTTAAAGGTTAGAAGGTTTGTTAGATGTTCGACGCCAATTCAAATTTTATGAAGCAAAAGGGTTAGCAAATTTGCTTCAATTAAAGGGACAAAAGACTAACATTTCTGTTTCAGGAATAAATAATTTGTCTTTGAATATAAAAATCTAGAGTTAGTGCAGACTATTTTAAATAGAGGCAAGAGTTTAAGATTTAAGTTGAAATTTTTTGGTGGTTCCTAAAATACCAGAATATACGCCCTCTAAGCCTCTTGAAATTAATGTTTCATCTTTAGATAATATCAATTTAGCAGATGACAAATTTTTTGAGCCAGGCCCAATTGAATTTCTGATAAGGTGCAGAACATTTCTATGAGCTTTCAAAAACCAGGTCAAATTTCCCTTCAGGATTCAAATTTAAGATTACAAAATAGTGTTTTCGGCTATGTTATAAGGTGGGACTCTTCCTGCTAAAGGGGAAAGTAAATTACATTGTAGGTTTATTACAGATAATTTGGAGTTAGAAAGAGCAGTAAGAGAGTTTTGCGAAATCGAAAATGTAGAAAGAGAATCTGAGATTTGTGAACAGCATTTTTCTCAAAAACTATTACAGGACTGAAACCAGAAAATATGTAGTCAAGATACCGTTTGAGAAAGATCCAATGTGTTTAGGGAATTCGAAACAAATCGCGCTTATGAGGTTGAACTTGTTGTGGACTCGTTTAAGTAAGGATGAAAATTCCTTATTATTGTACTCCGATTTTCTACATGAATACAGTGAACAAGGTCACATGACTGAAGTGAAAGATGAAGATGAGCAAAAGGGGAAATATTATATTCCACACCTTGGTATTTATCGCCCTGAGAAAAGTTCGACACCTTTAAGAGTAGTGTTCAATGCTTTGACTGCAACCTCAAAAGGTAATTCGCTGAATTCAATTCAGTATAATGGTAGTGTAATTCAATAGGACTTGTTTTCAATTATGGTACGTTTCCGAAAACATATTTATGCTTTTACAGCGGATATCAAAAAGATGTACCAAATGATATCGATTCATCCTACTCAATGGCAGCTATAGATAATTTTGTGGAAAGAGTCAATTAATGGTCCAATTAAAACTTTTGAGTTGAACACGGTCACCTATGGCACAGTAAGTGCACCTTTTTTAGCCATGAGAACATTACAACAGCTTGCTATAGATGAGTTCACAAATTTTCCATTAGCAGCTGCAGTTCTACAGAGTGACTCTTCGACAGTCTTGGCTTGGCTGAAAAAGGAGCCCTGTTGTATGAAAACGTTGCAGTGGTTCAAGAAATGACGGAGGTGCGACAGTGGCATCACGTCCCATCTAAGCAGAACCCTGCGGATCTCATATCAAGAGGTGCTGATCTGGTCAAATTTCAACTGTGTGAACTGTGGTGGTGCGGTCCCCCATTTCTTCTTCAACCTGTGATGACTAAATGCCAAGATGATATCCCCGAGGAGTCCGAAGAACTTTATCTTCGCGAATTAAAACCACCAGCAGTAAGTGAAATATGTGCACTTATTAACACTTATGAGCTATTAGAAGTCATCAATAATTGTTCATCTTACAACAATTGCTAAGAGTAGTGGCTTGGTGCAAGAGATTCTTGCATAACACCAGGTATCCATTGCATGCTACACGCAGAACGTTGACAACCAGTGAACTTTCTAGTGCGTTATTGTGTATTGTGAAATACGTTCAAAAAACTTCATTTGTGACAGAAATCCAGTGCTTAGAAAAGGGTGCTCCTATTCCTAATAATAGTAAACTATAGAATTTGTGTCCATTTTTAGATCATGATGGAATACTCAGAGTGGATGGAAGACTGAAAAACAGTGACTTAAGTGAAATGAGAAAATATCATATGATTCTGCCAATCAAACATAATTTTACTGTTATTGTGATTAAAAAATTTTCATGTTCTTTATTTTTATGCAGGTGCTGAAACAATCCTATCACTTATAAGGAATAAATTTTGGATTTTTTTCTGCAAGAAATTTAATTAGAAAAATTATACTTAATTATATGATTTGTAAAAAGGTAAATTCTAGGTCTGTGCAGCAACAGATGGAATGATGTACCAGCTGTGAAAGTGACCATATCAAGAGTTTTTGCTAAAACAGGACTCCGATTTCTGTCGTCCATTTATGGTAAAAAACTTTTGTAGGTAGAAGTAAACAGGTAAGAAAAGTATTTGTGTGTATTTTTGTATGTTTCACTACGAAGGCCTTGCACTTTGAAATTGTAAATGATTTAACAAGTTCAGCATTTATAGCAGCACTTAAACACTTTATTGCCAGGCGAGGTAAACCCTCAGATATTTTCAGTGATAATGGCAGAAATTTTGTGGGCGCTCATAGAGAATTAAGAGCGATTTTAAAATCTTTATTTAAGGATAAAAGTGAGGAAGAAATCAAAAGTTATTTGGCTACTGAAGGCATAAATTGGCATTTTAATCCTCCCTCTACTCCTCACTTTGGAGCTTTATGGGAAGCTAGTGTGAAATCCCTTAAATATCACTTGAAACGTGTGGTGGGAAAAACCATTCTAACTTATGAAGAATTTTTTACTCTAATTGTTCAAATTGAATATGTACTTAATTCTCGCCCTCTTTGTCGCATATCAAATGATCCAAATGATGTAGGCACCTGCTCACTTTCTTATTGGTTCATCTTTAATCGCATTGCCTGAACCTAATTTTACAGAGATTCCTATAAATCGGATAACTAGATGGCAAATAGTTCAAAAATTAAATCAAAATTTTTGGAAAAAAATAGTCGTCTGAATATTTAAACAAACTTTTAAATAGACCTAAATGGTATAAAGGAAAAGTAGAAATGAAGGAAGGAGATTTGGTTTTAGTAAAAGATTCGGATAATTACTCTCATTTAAAGTGGCATTTAGCACAAATTATTAAAACCCATCCAGATCAAGATAATATTATACAAGTTGTGACACTTAAAGATAAAAATGGAACCTATAAAAGGCCAATGACAAAAATTGTACCTTTGCCTTTTGTTAACGAAAAAGTTTCAGTTACTTAAATTTTATTTGTAGTTAATTATCAAGTTTGAGTTAGTATAATTGTTATAACCATCATTATTATTATCTTTGAAGTATTGTGTTTGTATTTTATAACTTGTGTTTTAAATTTATTGTTGAATGTAACATTCAAGGGTGGGCTGGATGTTGACGCCAGAGGCGCCATCTGTGAAAAATATATTTGTGTTCTAAAACGATGACGCTGATGTTTGTTAAAAGCGCCACCTTGCGCCCACTTGTTTTCAATTTTTTTAGTGTGTTTTGAGACGCCACCGAAAGATGTGAACTAACTATGCGGCTTTTTGAGTAATTAATAAATTTTAGTATACAGTCCATTTTTGAGTTTTTGTGTAAAGTGATTTATTTAATTATGAGTTTTACTGAGCTATTGACGGGCCCAAAATGTAAACTTATTCATGCTTTATGACAGACTTATAAATCTCTCATTTCCTTAATTTCCCCTAAAGAAGTAAATAAATAAGTTTCTAAAATTTGAAAATATTCCAGTTAGTTGAATCTTGGATAATCGGATTTTACTTAATATATATTCAAATAGCTATATAGCTACAAAATGTAACCAACTTTATGGCAAGTTCATATCTTAGAGATAAAACAGGCTGGCTGTTTTTATGGCTTACCCAATATGCTACCTTACACAATTTTTTTTTTTTTTTTTTTTTTTTTTTTTTTTTTTTTTTTTTTTAAGTAGTCTTTGACAAAGTCCTTATTTCCCTTAGTAGAAAGCCATTACATACTTAACTATAACTAAACAATCAACTAATATACAGTTACATACAGAATTTATGTCAGAAATGTTCTGTGCCTGAACAATGGGCATATAAATAATGCCAAGCTCCTTAAACATCATACCAATGCCTCTTGTAAACATCTACAGTCAAATTGAATATACAACTGCAAAAGAATTTCATTATATGGAATGAAGCTAGAGAAATTTACTATCACACAATAATGATAAATAAGAAATATTTATGTACAATAATATAAAAGTAAGAAACATCTTAATGGCAGTCTAGAATAACTGACTAAGAAAACACACAATTAACTTTAAAAAAAAATACAATTGCAGAAATATTATCCAGTTAATGTAATAAAAATATATTTACATAATCAGCAAGAAACGAAATTCCTCTTGGAAATCTTACAGGATCAGCAACCAATTTACCAGTTTCATCTCTGAATTTGGACATCCAGCAATCATCAATATTTATATATGTATAGCCCACATCTCTATAACCATCTGATACAAGTTTGTTAGCCATTTCCATAAATAGCTGTTCACTGTAAAGAGAGAAAAATGAAACTGTATAGTTGGTTTGGTACTCTTCTGTTATCAGGACAGATTCAGAAACATATGTATGTATACAAGTGTACATGTGTAAGGATTATGTTAATTTTATTAACCCTCTGAGCGTTATGGTCAGCTTTATCCGGTCATCAGAAGTTTTGCTGCTTGTCATATATTAGCTTATAATTTAAGATATTTTGCTTACCGTCTTTAATAATGCAAATATCAGCTTAATGAATGTAAGTTTGTGAAAATACAGACTAAAATAAGTAATTAGGCAAACTCAATTAACCTTTAACTGCTGTCAGCGGTCTATGAGACCGCGCGACATTTTCCATTAAATGCTTCCACCCCTTAGAATAATTAATGGTTATTGCCACTCTTAGTACTTTCCTAAACCAGTTGTCCAAGGTCACATACCAAGTTGCATTTGGCTAGTTCTATTTCTTCTTTTATTTTTTTTTTAAATTTTCCTCCCTCAGCGGTCTGTGGGACCAGTCACAGCAGATACGATTCAAATTTCGGCCAATAAAGTTCACTTTTCGTTGTTGTTACATATTTCGTTTTTTTATAAATATTCTTGAAATGGCTTCATGCAGAAAACGTTCTATATATCTTACCCAAGACCAAATTGGATAAATAGTTCGAAATTGGTCTAATTTACAGTTCTCTGATTAAAGTTCAAATGATGAAATTATTGAGAGCGACCACGACACAAATTCAGAAATATCTGCCCATGAAAATGAAAATCCATGTTGTCCTTCTACAAGAGATTTTTTATTGAAAAATATGAATTCAAATGGTCTATTCAAGAGCCCAACAAGGGTGTTCGAACTCGTAGTCACAATATTATTCTTTGTTCAATCTATTCAACTGCTCGTCGAACCCGACGTTGGCCTATGGCAATATTTTTCAGAAACTTGGTTATATGTGCAATAAATGCACTCGTATTATTTCAATCTTATCCCATTTGCTCTGAAAATGAAACAAAAAGATTTCATTTACAATTCAGTTGATGCAGTCTCCAGAGTCGTAGCTAGGGTTTTCAGCGCCCAGGGGCAACTGAAGATTTTGCACCCCTACTGCTTGCCAAGGATGGAAAACATTTAATTCTAAAATGTCGTAACATCAATTTGGTGCCCCTTGGATTCTGTGCCCGAGGCAGATGTCCCCTCCCTTGCCCCCCTCTAGCTACATCCCTGGCAGTCTCATATAAAACAGAGGATAACTTCATCGTTTTAACCTAAAGAACTCAAACTTACAATAAGAACAGTTTTCGGAATAAATGATGATGAAGGAAACATTGCGATCGAAGACGATAAATTAAAAAAAAAGAACGTCCTATGTTTGTCTCCCAAGCAAAAAAAGGAAAAGAGCTTACAAATGTATAGCATGCAAAGAACCAGTGTGTCTACAGTGCTGTAGAAAAGTATGTATAAAATGCAGCTCGAATTATAATTTTTAAAATAAAAGTTAATTTTCTATATTCTTATTAAAGCATTCTTATCGCAAATTTTAATGTAAAATAAAAAAGTTGAATTTTAAAATTTACTTCTTCCATCCAGATACATAAGCAAAGGAATTATTATCATAGTATATATTTTATTTTAATGAACTGATTTAAGTATAAAAATTGCTTTATATCTTCATGAAAAAGTTAAATATATGAAATTAAATAACATTTATTCAAATAAGAAAAATAAAACAATATCTTATTTTGTTTTTAGCAGAAGCGGTCTCAGAGACCGCTCACAGTAATTACGCGACAATTTAAGTCACAGTAGTTAAAGGTTAATAAATGCTGTTTAAATACTGATCTTCATCACAGATCTAAAGTCATGTAACGCTCAGAGGGTTAACAGTTAAATTTTAAGTTCCTTTCCTGTTGATTCTTAACTTCAACTTACTACTTCCGGCCAGAACGTAGTTTTAGAATCACGTCTGAATACATAATGAGGAAGAGCGGTATTTAACCGTGAAGTTCTTCAGTCTTAGCGAGAGAGTTACCAGGTAATCTGTCTGCACACGTTCACCTTTTTAGGCTACTCTCTCATAAGCCTAAAAAGGCAGACTCTTGGTGTTTCTGGAACCTATAAACTGAATTATTTCAGGATTTTTCGTGGATTTCAGGAGTTGGCGGATTTTTGGTATTTGACTGTATATTCAAAGAAGGTGGAAAAAAACAAATCAAATGCCTTTTCACAGGCACTGAAATGGGCACCACGAAACCAACCATCTATTAAAGAAAATGAAATCCTTAGCAACCAATGATATTTCCAACATGGTACTAAGAACATTATGGATTGAAAAATTGCCATGCAAAATTAAACATATATTGATAGCTAATAATGAAGGTATTGATATTGGCGATTGTAGCTGATAAGATTTTTGACATGCATTAACAAACTGAAGTGAATGTTGTCAAATGAGAATCAGCTCATTCAGCTACTAGCATCGGAAACTGAGGAGCAGCATAAAAAAATATCTTGCATTTTTTTTTTCTTTTTCGAAATCTGGTCGCCTTTTCTAAATGGGACTGTTAATGCTCTCAATTCTTGAATTTAAGCAACCAAACAATTCCATGCATTTCAGGAAATATCACTGCATTCACCAAAATTCACTGTTTGGTGTGGCTTCACAACAGATTTCATCAGTGGACCATACTTTTATGAAAATATTACTCTAACAAGACCACATAAAGGTATCGATATTTTGAATAGTTTTCTCATTCCCCAACTTCGGCACATGAAATTGCTGTACCAGGTAACTTTTATACAGGCCAGAGCACCACCACATACTGTCCTACGGGTAGAGCAGCCGTTGTGCCACCCTTTACAGAAGAAAGATTCATAAGTTGTTTTTTTTTTTTTTTTTTTTTTTTTTTTTTTTTTTTCATTTGCATGGTGGCCTCACTCTCCAGATCTAAACCCATGTGACTTTTTCTCTAACGTTATTTGAAATTTCAAGTCTAGCTTGGTGGAGTCCCAACCTTGAAAACCTTAAATAACAACATATCACTTGCTGCACTGAGCATTCATGGCGACACGTTACATTTTGGCCGTCGAGCATGCTGTGTACAGGATGCATTGTGCAATCCACAAGAAGGGTGGTCACATTGTAAGAGGTCTATGGCCATGCTGAGGAAGAACTTCTATTGAATAAAGTGCAATAGTGCACTGAAATATCATCTCTGTAACCCATTGGGGTAGTTTATTTGCTGCATTAAAGCAGCGTTGTACTGAATTTCTTCTTTACTCTTAATTTATCTAGTTTCAATAGCGTAAAGTACAAAAGCACTACATTTTCTTCTATCAGCAACTTGCAGAATTAATTTTTTTTCACAGTCTTTTTCCCCATGTCATCATTAGACTTCCTAAAAAATCTGGTGCCATTCCAACTGACAGATCCAGCTAAAGTTGGTTGAGTAGTGTCAGTTAATATATATATAAACCTACAGTTAAAAATTGAAGAACCTTTGTTATTGATTTATCTAGTTTCAGTAGCGTAGAGTACAACAGCATTACATTTTCTTCTATCAGCGACTTTTGGAATTAATTTTTTTCAGAGTCTTTTTCCTCATGTCATCATTAGACCTCCTAACAAATCTGGTGGCATTCCAGCTGATCGATACAGCTAAAATTGGTTGAGTAGTGTCAGTTAATATATATACATATACAGTCAAAAGTCTTTAATCCGGACTCGTCGGGACTTCGGCGATTCCGGATTATCGATTTTTCCGGATTATAGATCATCGTTAATCTGGTAAGATGCTGCAGAATTATAAAAACTAAAAATATGAAACCGTAATTTATATAAAAAATGAGCATTATGATCTAAGGGTATCCAAATTTACCAAAAAAGAAGCCTAACACCTATGCGCATGCGTCAATGCGGCGCATGCGCAGAAAGATTTTAGCTTTGAGGTCCGGATTATAGATCATTCCGGATTACGGGTGTCCGAATTAACGACTTTTGACTGTATAAACCTACAGTTAAAAGTGAAGAAACACACACTGCTTGGCACAATTTTCCAAATCGTTAACTTTGTGAGCTCTCATGTCTTCAAGTTACAAACGTGAAACTGTGCTTTACCTCTAAATGGCAAAATCCTTTATCTTTCAGATATCAATAAGCAGCTAAACAGTCAAAAATGATTGTGGTGCCAGGCAACACCCATTCACTAATCACATCAAGCAAGTAGGCACTCTTCAACTCGGAACCACTCTAAAAAGACATTTGTGCATATCTCTTTCAATTCCTCCAAACACCCATCTTCCTTTCATGGCCTTCATACTTCATCTTCCCAAACTTACTTTCATCAACCTCAACAATCGTACCCACACCCTCCAATCTTGCAACTATCTCTTACTGTAATATGAATACAGTCAAAAGTCGTTAATCCGGACTCGTCGAGACTTCGGCGATTCCGGATTAAATCGCGTAAGATGGCATGCAGAAATTCTAAAATTAAAAATATGAAACCCTAATTTTGAAATGAAGAACAATCTAGGGTATCTTCAAAAAAAATTAATATTTTTTGTTTACTTTATTGTTTCTTTCAATGTAATTATTTAAGTTGCTTCGTTTTATGTGATAATACTTTCTCTTTAATTCTATAAACAGACTTTTCTTCTTCAGTTACAAAGTTCCGCTTCAAGTCCGTTAATTGCTGTGCCGAGAATACCGACTAACTTGTCAATCGAAATTTTTTCGTTTTTTGTCTTCTGTCACATTCTTCATACCTTTATCGATTTATATGGCGTCAGCTCAAGCTGTTATGGCGAGGACGGTTTTCATCAGTGCTAAAAGCAATAGCCAAGATTTCCGCCAAAAAATAATTTCACTTATTCAAATTCGAAACCGGAAGGGTTTAATTGCTATTTTATATTTAAACAATAATATAAAAACGTATTAAATTTCTGTAATTAATAAATGTACATTCTTTGTATTCATACTTTTTTACTCAAACTTACAAATCGCGTCAACCTGGTTGCGATAATACGTAAGTACCAAATATTTTATATCACATAACTTTAGAATTCTTGATTAAGTGTTAAATGTTGACAGACTCATTTTCTTTTTTATGTTTGTTGCACTATTTCTTTAAAAACCATACGTGGTGTTAACATTTAGTGGCGATACTTGAAATGTTGTAGTAACACAAAAGTAAAGTTTGACACTAATAGCACAGCTGGTGCTAATAATGAAACTAACAAAATAATTAATAAGTTCAATTAAATGTAAAGATACAAAACAATATTTAATAAATTATTAGACTAACAATAAATAGTTAAAAATAAAGTAAAATAATGGACCTTGTGTATTTAGGGCTCCAGCTGGAATTATAATTTCTCTCAAAACTAAGAAATAGCTCGACTAGACTTTAGCTGAATTTAAGTCCTGAATATAAAGTATAATGGGTACAAACACAGCCCCCTTGGAGCAATTTGGTGTTTTTTTTTTTTTTTTTTTTTTTTTTTTTTTTTTTTGTGTGTAAAGATAAAAGTTACTTACTGGGTGCCAGGCGATGGTTTTCGGGACTTTCTTAAAAAGGTTCCCTAGCTATCAATACTTAGCTTAAGTTGCCAAACATTATTACCTTATAAAGAGAAAATATACTTTTAACAATTTAAAATACACATTTTAATTATAAGTAAGGACACGTGATACATTAAAAAAAAAAAAAGAAACACATTCTTTTTAATATCCTTCTTTAATTTCTTTGCACTGTTCTCCCCAAGTACACAGTGATCTGTTTTCGGCTTAAAAAAAGCATCAGAAAAGTGCGCAGAGTCAGCATCATAATTATTTCAATTTTATGAACAATGATGTGGAGGTAATTGCAATTAATTGCAAAGGTACTCCATAATCCAAACACCTTAGTCCTAATAGTGGTTTAGAAACAGTCTCTCCTCATTGTTTTTTTTAGAAATGTTTCAAAAAAGTTCTGTATTCTTGGAGAAATTTTACCACAGTTTCTTCTACTTGTGGCAAATTCCATAAGCCCGTATTTTAAAATTAAGTTTAAAAGATAAAATGTGTCATGATTTGCTTATAAGAAACATTAAAATTTGGAAAACAATGAAAAGAACACATATGAAAATGGCGACGTTGATGAATGAAGGATCATTACAAGCACCATTGCTAGAATTTGGCACATTCCAAAAACTTGGTGACTTCTACTAAAGTGGCTGAGATAACATATTAAGTACCACATAATGTATAACTTTAAGGGATGATGGAAACAAAGATCATTCTTTTACCAGCACACTAGTAAAAAAAGGCAAAACTGTTAAAAGTGCCACTAATAAGAACAGAAAGAATGCTAGCAACAGTATGAGAATATGAAAGGAAATTGTAACAAAGATACGTAGGTATGAAAAAGAGGAGCAAAACAATTTCTCATCATATTCTCTCAATGATAAGATTCTAGCTGTCAAGCAGAATGTGACAAGCCAAAAGAAATTTGCCCCAAATCTGAGAGTTGATTTACAAGATGAAACCAAATATGAAATTCTATACAAGTGACAATTTTTGTCCTCCTGTATTCAGCTAAATCATTCTAAAACATCTGTAGGTGCTGTTTTCCACGGCAAGTCGCTAGTGTTGGACATGCATATCCAGGTTGATTACCTCTAGCACATTTGGAAGACAAAAATATTAACTGCTCTTATAACTTTATTGTATTTTCTGGAGAATAAACTTTTGACATGTGGGTGGATTTTTTATTTCAATTTACTTTACTCCAGGCTTTACGATCTCTGTCAAAGGGGCTTATTTGCCAGGGAAAGACGGGCATGCATTCAGAAATTAGAAGCAATTTTTAAGGTTCAAAAATAAATTTTCAAGTTGAACACTTTCTGCTAAAATTATAGTTCTATTACATAAAATAAGTGCCACAGTCATCTTATTCAGGGCTCCAAAGTACTCTGCTAGAATTAGGATTTATCTAAAAAAAAAACAAAAAGAGAGCTGGGATCCATCACAATTTAAGCTCTGCTTCACAAGGGTTACATGCCAGAAAGAGGTATCTTTGTGACAGACTTTTGAATAGAAACTGGCTTGTATTCACATTAGATAAGAAAAAATCAAAACGCTTATGAATCAGCCGATTCATTAAGGATTCATATTGCAATAAAACTACCAGCATTCAATAGTTCTACTATCTCTCATCTTGCTTGGCTCAGATATAAATGGGCTTGCTTGAGAATATACATACATTGTACCACGTGTCCATGTTCTGATGTTTAAGTTACTATTATCAGTTAGTATAAGTTTGCAATGATACTTATATAATCACTTAATTTTAAAAATATTTTTAAATGACACTGAAGAGATCTGAGGAAGACTAACAACAAAATCTAATTTGGGGAAACAGAGGTACAATGAAATAGCTCCATTTTTTATATGTACGGCTGGTGTTAGGCATTTTGCTGCCCAGTGCAAGTTCTATGGATTATAAATTCTGCTGCCTCTTTAAATTCTAAAAATGTTGCCACCCCTAAACTTTACTGCTCCGTGCCTCCCTTAATTCCAAATATTTTGTCAGCCTTAAATTTTGCTTACAGGTAATTTTAAAAATTTTGCCACTCCTAAACTTTGCCGCTCAGCATAGCTACACTCGCATCAGCCCTCTTGACATGTTAGGACAGAATTCATTGAAACTATGCTCAAAAAAGCAAAATGTTACACAACAAAAATTTTGAATATTTTTATGCGTTTGATCATTAGGAACGCCAGCTGCTGAGCAATTTTACTTCTCATGATACAAATAAAGAAACTTGTTTCTTCTTATCAATATAGCACTTTGTGTTATTTAAAATCATAAATAATGAAATGTCTTTGTTATTTTCTAAAATTAATTTGTTGTGCACATTAGCCTTTGCAGAGTAATTCTGTATTATAAAATGATCCCAAATGAATAATATTACAGACATTTGGGAGCAGTCAGACTTAATAATTTACAAAATAGGCTGGCTGCACAAAAGATTTCGAAGCTTCTTTACCACATATAATGAAATTATCTACACTTTTCTTAGCAATGTCTCCAAGAAACAGGCATTAAATATTTCACTGTACTTTACAAGTCAACAATTATTTTGTTGCAGAAAATAATCTCCTGCAAAGTAACATTATTTGTGATGCTGAAGTTAAACATCAGGTTTGTTGTTTTTATCCCTCTGTTAAATGTAGGCAGAAATCAGATATGCTGAATCAAATTTGCTTAGCACATATATTTTTTACTAAATTATATAATCTATAAGAAAGATACATAATTTAAATGAGGAAAACATACATACATTTCATACAAAATATAATTATAAAAACTATTTTCTCTTACAAGCTGTTTCTTATTTAGATATAAATGCTAACTCACAATAATCTACTATACATCTTTGTTATCTTCATCAAAACTTCAATCTATAAATACTGTATAGTATTATTCACAGACAACAGCTTTTTATGAATAAGAGTAACATTATTGATTTGCAGATATGTTTTGCATCTTAAGTCCTTGTACGTTTTTTTCAGTGTAAAATTCTACTGATTAAA